TTCTCTCACTCTTCTCTTCTGGAAGGCTGACGAGTAGTTTATTCAACCAGTGTTATTCAAACTGTAGGTTGTTTCCCAAGAGTGACTTATAAAATCAATTTAGTAGGTTGTTACCAGTGCTGAGAAAGAAAATAAATAGCAAATATCAGAGTGTATCGTGTTATTTCGTGAAACTTTTGTTTCAGTTGTATTTATTAACATACTTATACATACATCTATGCAGTGAGGCACAAATAAAACGCATTTATTACTGCGGACTGTGGTAAAGAGACAAAGAGAAAGAGAAGCCTGGAAAACACATCATTCTCCATATGTCTTTACTTCTCTGTCATAGTCTAATCTCTGATTTTTATGTCCCACATCATGGGTATTGCTCCAGACCTCCCCCTCAGTTACTAACTTTCCTTTAGGCTGCTGATAAACCTGTTTCATGAATTTTTCATGTCAGGATTTTTATTTATTTATTTTATTATTATTATTTTTTTTACATAGCTTAGTGGTCCCATTGGCAGGTTTCTAGTGTTGGTTTTATTTAACCTCCACCCCGACGCGGGGATGGTGACATACTGAGGTTTTAGGGTTGGTCTCCACTGCTGTCACCTCAGGCACTCAGCAGTGGCCAGGCCCCCTTGACGGGGGAAGTCTGTGTTCTTGGGCCCATGCAGAGCATCACATCTGCCACCAGGGCCACTTTGTAAATAAATCCAGTGAGCAAGCAATGGCCTCGCTGGGGAAAAAAACAAAACAAAACAAAAACAGCACTGTCATCCACAAAAAGTGTCACCTTGTGCACTCGATTATTGGAGGGTCACTGCTTTGGTAGATGTGCTTGGGTGGGCATTCACAGGGGACACCAGAATCTTCTCATGTTTTCATCCTCAGAACCATCCACATCCCTCCCTGTCGCCAGGCCCAGCTCCACCAAGTTTGTCCCTGGCCACCGCTGCCAGTCAGTGTACACTTGTGCTCTTGGGTCATTTCTCAGCCAAAGTAGACATCCCAAAGTACTGCTTGAGATTTTGGCAAATCTATAAATTCCACTTAGGTTGTCATTCTGCAACCTGCCTAATTAAATTTGGGGTACGATTTTCAGCAAGGTCAAAAACCTATAGAACTAGAAATAAAGGATTATTTTAGGGATCTCCTTGGTTTTCTGTGAGTTAAGCTTAGTGTTTAAAGAGCCCGTCACTTTCTTTCTGCGACAGCTCCAGTGAGCTCAGATGCAGCCATCCCACCCCAGGGTCCCCTGTCCTCATGGCCGTGAAAGCGTAGCAGCCACTCAGCCCTCCAAGGCCCTTCTTCTGTGGGCACCGCATCACAATCAAGTGTGGATGATGACGTAATGAGTAGTGATGCCACCACGTCTTGTTTGTGGACTCCTTGTAACCTTTGTCACGTGCTAAACTAGCTCTCTGGAGGAAGAAGATAACTCTGGTTTGTTGTTTCAGATTTCTGTCGTGCAAATGCTCCCACCAGGACTGATTTTAAGCCACTTCCTGGATGTCACTGAACATAGTTAAGAAGTGACGCGTGCTGGCTCTTGCCAGCGGGTATGAACCCACCAGCCCCGCCCTGCTGCTATCCCGTCCCGCTGGCACCGCAGCCAGGCATGAGGATGGGGCCGAACCAGGCCCAGAACACCTTCTTCAAGGGTCTGTGTCCTGGGACCACTCTCAGTACCAAGTGGTGTTGGTCAGAGTCCTGCCAGGAAAGCAGGAATTATAATTGTTTTGTTTTGTTTTTAAGATTTTATTGGGATCCCTGGGTGGCGCAGCGGTTTGGCGCCTGCCTTTGGCCCAGGGCGCGATCCTGGAGACCCGGGATCGAATCCCACGTCGGGCTCCCGGTGCATGGAGCCTGCTTCTCCCTCTGCCTGTGTCTCTGCCTCTCTCTCTCTCTCTCTCTCTCGCTCTCTGTGTGACTATCATAAATAAATAAATAAAAAAATTAAAAAAAAAAAGATTTTATTTATTTAAGGTGCCTGGCTGGCTCAGTCAGAGAAGCATGTGCCTTCAACTCAGGTCATGATCTCGGGGTCCTGGGATCGAGCCTTGGGTCAGGCTCCTTGCTCAGCGGAGAGCCTGCTTCTCCCTTTGCTCCCCTCCCCCCCACTCATGCTCTCTCTCACATGCTCTCTCTCTCTCTCCGTCTCAAGTTTTACTTATTTTTTTTTTGAGAGAGACACAGATTTATTTATCCGAAAGAGAGACAAATGGGGGTGGAGTTCCAGGGTTGCAAAAGGAAGAGTTCTGCAGGTAGATGGTGGCGATGGCCTCACCGCAGTGTCAGTGGGTTCAACGTCCCCGAATGGCACGCTGCGCACAGGTCAGCTGGCAAATTATAGGTTCTGTGCACTTCACAACAATACAAAACAATGTTTAATGCTGAGAATTTTCCAGAAGGATGAAAGATACCAAACAACGCATTCAGAAAACCCTGAGAATTCAAGCAGGATACATGCTGGAGACTAGAGGCTGAAGGTTTGTGTTCCAGCCCCAGAGTCCGGGGTGGAAAGCTCATCCCCCAGGGATGGTGGTGGGAGGTGGGCCCGTGAGAGGAGCTCCTGTCAGGAGGGCGAAGCCCTGGCAGTAGGACTGGTGCCCTCGCAGGAGAACCTCCAGGGCACAGGAGAATAGCAGGCTGTGAACCAGGAGGGGGGTTCCCCAGGCATGGAGCGTGCCAGCACTGTGGTCTTGGACTTCCTGGCCTCCAGAACGTTAAGAAAGAAATGTCATTTAAGCTATCCAGTCCATGCCATTTTGTTACAGCAGCCTGAGTGGGCTAAAATAATAAATAAAACAGGCACATTATAGTAAAGCAGCAGAACTCAGAACAGGTGGAAAAACAGATCATCTTTGAAGGGATGATGAGGAGACTGTCATCTGAAATCCCAGGGAACAGTATCTTTGGGCTGTAGAGAGAGACCTGTCACCATAGTAAACCAGCCCAAATATCTCTCATGAACAAGGGTAGAATAAAGTAATTTTCAGATTAGCAAAAACTGAGAGAGTGTGGCCAGACACACCCTCAGTGAAACAGAATTTAAAGAATTACTTCAGGCACAAGGAACGTGATCTTGGTTGTTAAGTTCTGAGATGCAAGAAGAAAAGGTGGGCAAAGAAATTGGTAACTATGTGGTTGAGCCTAAATTAACACCAACAGTATAAAACAAGGTGTGACAACTCATGGCATGAAAAGGAAAAGATTAAACCTGAAACACACCACAATTAAGGGATATAATTTGGGGGGATGGGTGGTTAGAGTTCAAGAGTCCCAAAGTTCTTGTATTTTAAGGAATCACGGTAAAGACATTTTAAAAATTGGACTTCCATAAGTACCCATGCCACAGTATCTGGGGTGATCATGAAAACAGAGACAGTATATAAGAAGAGGAGAAAAAAATGAGAGAAAAAAAATCAGCCCTAAAGAAAGGAGAGGGAAAAGAAAAAAAAAAAAACAGGCATAGCAAATAGAAAGCACAAAAGAAGATGGTAGAAATAAATCCAGACATGTTAGTAAATATAATAAGTGTAAATGGACCAAACGCTCTAGTTAAAAGACAAAGATTATCTTTAAAAAAAAACTTTTTTACTATGAAGAAATTTCAAGTGTACAGAAAAGTGGGAAGAATAGTATAAAGAGGACCCAGATGCCCACCACAGTAGAGCCAACATTAATTATTCACTGTTTATCTTCTCTCTATATATAAGTATAGGAGACTATTAAGAATACATATATATATTTATATATTTTAAAGATTTTATTTATTTATTCATGATAGACGTAGAGAGAGAGAGAGACAGAGACACAGGCAGAGGGAGAAGCAGGCTCCATGCCGGGAGCCCGATGCGGGACTCAATCCCGGGACTCCAGAATCACGCTCTGGGCCAAAGGCAGGTGCTGAACCGCTGAGCCATCCAGGGATCCCCAAGAATACATACATTTTTTGAGAGATTTATTCACTTTTAGAGAGAGAGAGAGAGAGAGAGAGACAGCACTCGTGCAGGTACAGGGGAGGGGGAGGGCATTGAGAGGGGCAGAGAGAGCCTTAAGCAGACTCCCCTGAGCCGAGCTAGATCTCAGCACCCTGACTGACATTACGACCTGAGATCATGACCTGACCTGAAATCAAGAGCTGGATGCTTAACAGACCGAGCCACCCAGGCGCTCCTTGGGAGCCCATACTTTATGTAGGAAACATTACGCGATGACATGATTTTTAAGTGGCAATAATGACGTAGTGTTCCCTTTGGAGGCCAAGCACATCTGCGTTCCCAGCAGTTTATTTTAGTTTACTCCCAGCAGCTTTTTAGTAAGTTATTTGTGTGGTTATTTTTCCAGAGGCCGGCTCTCCAGCGGGTTCTGGTTAGAGGGTAGAAACCAGGTCAATTTCTCTGACCATTGGATTTGTCGATGTTGGTTGCAGGTGGTAGTAAAGGATGCAGCCCCGTGCTTGCCACGGAGTGGCTGTGTAATGGAGCGCTGCTTTCATCACGACCCACGGTGGGGTTATTGAAGGCGTTCAGCGGAGAAGCATGAGAGCAGCGAGCAATAACTGGTAGTTTACTGTGCATCCATTGCTTGCCATGGGTCACGGAGCCTAGCACACGCCACTCACTCACAAACATGCTTATGCTAGGAATATAGGACTTCCCTTATTATTCAGTCTCCACCAGTGCCTGGCACTACAGAAGCAAGGCTACGGTGGAAGTTTCTTCTCTTTATTATTATTAAAGCACTTTGCACGGCGGCGGCGGGCCCCCGTGGGCCCTGCATAAATCACCTCCGACCTGCGGGGCCGCGCTCCTGAGCATCCTTGACGGCTCCGCCTCCAGCCCTGCACGAAGCCCCGCCCCCTGCCGCCCGGTAGCCCCGCCCCGCGGCCCGCGCCGCGCCTGCGCACAGCGCCGGGAGGGGCTCCGCGCGCGCAGCTTCCCGCGGCCCGAGCGCGCGCAGGGCCAGCCGGCCAGCCCGCCTGCGTGCGTGCGTGCGTGCGTGCGTCGCTGCGTGCGTGCGTGCGTGCCGTGCGTTCGCCGGGCACCGCGGCCTCGCCCTCGCCCTCCGCCCCTGCGCCTGCACCGCGTAGGCCGCCCCCCCCCCCGCGCGCGCCCCGCAGACGACCCCCGCCCGCGTCCCGGCCGCCCCCCCCTTTCCGAATTTAAAGGGGGCGCAGCATTAACGCCTCCCGCCCCAGGTGACCTCTCAGGGGGTCCCCCCGGCAGAGCTGCCCCGCCGCTGAGGAACATGGCGAAGGTGGAGCAGGTCCTGAGCCTCGAGCCGCAGCACGAGCTCAAATTCCGAGGTAAGCGGGACGCCCGCCATGTTCGGCCGCGGGCCCGGCCCGGCCGCCCCGCGCCCCCGCCCGCGCTCGCAGGCACCGGCGGCGCGGTGGTGACGTGAGTGCCCGCCCGGCCCGCGGTCCCCGCCCCGCCCCGCCCGACGGCGCGCCCGCCCCGCGCCCCCCCGCGCCCCCCCCGCGCCCCCCCGCGCCCGCCGGGCGGCCCCGGCCCCCGCCCCGCCCCGCCCCGCCCGCCTCCCCCCGAGCCGCCCGGCCCCGGAGGCGCGGGGCGCGGTCCCCGTGCGGCCGCGGGCCCTGCCGAGCGCGCGCCGCCCTCCCGCCCCCGGGGCCGCCGCCTCCGGGCCCCCCGCGGCGGGCACCCGCCGTCGGCCCCGCCTCGCCTCGGCTCGGCGCCCGCCGCGCCGCCGCCACCTCCACCCCCGGGGAGGTTTTACGCACTTGTGTGCTGCGCTCCGGCGCTGGACGGGAAGCTCCATGAGGACAGGACGCGCCGCCCCCTGCCGGCGCCGAGCACCGAGCACCGAGCACACGCGGGCAGGTGGACGCAGCGCCCCCGCACAGGTGATGGGCCCGTCTGCGCGCGGGGCGGGTGCGGGGTCCCCGCAGGGCGCGGAGCCCCCCGGCCCCCCAGCAGCTGGGCCCGGAGCCTGGGCCACCGCGTGCGCCCGCCCCGGGTGCTGCTGGGCAGCGGGGCCCTCTGGGCAGTGCCGCTTCGCACTTGTTAGGGTTTATCTGCCCTGCTTTCCCCGACGAAGTACAGACGAAGTACAGGCGACACGGGCCGTGGGCACCACGTCAGACTTGCCCAGTCTCCTTTTTTTTTTTTTTTTTTTTTTTTTAAGATTTTGTTTATTTACTCATGAGAGACGTAGAGAGGCAGAGACACAGGCCGAGGGAGAAGCAGGCTCCCTGCGGGGAGCCCGGCGCGGGACTCGATCCCGGGTGTGAAGGCAGCGCTAAACCACTGAGCCACCCGGGCTGCCCAGTCTTTCCTTTTATTTTTTTTATTTTTTTATTTTTTTAATTTTTATTTATTTATGAGAGTCACAGAGGGAGAGAGAGAGAGGCGCAGAGACATAGGCAGAGGGAGAAGCAGGCTCCATGCACCGGGAGCCCGATGTGGGATTCGATCCCGGGTCTCCAGGATTGCGCCCTGGGTCAAAGGCAGGCGCCAAACCGCTGCGCCACCCAGGGATCCCTCAGTCTTTCCTTTTAAAACGTGTTGAGTCACCGTCTGCTAGGTGTCTGGTTGGCATCAGAGAGGCAAGGAATGCACAAGCGACCCTCCCGTTCGCCTCCCCAGCTTAGAGCTTGCCTCCTCGTGGTGGGGGCGGGAGGGGAGACAAATCAGCAAAAGAAGGGTACTTCGGATTGTGGTAAGTTCCGTGAAGGAAATACAGAATACCAGCAGGTGACCTGATGAGCCTGTGCCTTAGGTCGGGTGCCCAGGTCACCAGGGGCCGCCAGCGCTTGGCCGGCGGCAGGTGCTCGGTCGGCATCTGTGGAATGGATGCTGGCCAGAGGCACCCTCATCTCTATGCACTGGCAGGAGGTTAGTACAGGGGAGCTTACCCAGAGTTACCCGGTTGGCACATGGCACGTTTGAACTCAGACTTCAGAGCTCACGCTCTTAACTGTTCTGCCGTCTGACCCCTGGGAAATACTCTAGAGCTGTGGCTGTCACTTTGCCTCCCAGAATAACAATCTGAAATGACTCCAAATGGTATAATGAACCAAAGATTTTCCAGTTAAAACGAAAATAAAACCCCACAAACCTAACATTGGTTGTGATTCTGGTGGCAAGTACTTTGTCCTGGGTGACGTTCTCATGGCCGCCTTCTAGAGCAGCCAGACTCGGGAACAGGGAGCGCAGTAGTTTCCGCTCGAATCGTCTGAAGTTCTCTACTCCAGGAGCCGGATTCTGCTCCTCCTGAGTATTGGCACATTCATTCGTTCAGTTCACATTTACTGAGTGGCTGCTGCACATGTCAGGTACCAGGGAAGAAGAATCACTTTCGCCCTCAATCCCCCCACCCCAGGCCTTAAGTCTAGGGAAGGAGGCAGATGACAGACCCATCCAGGACAGGTGCAATGATGGAAGGTAATCAGAGTACTCCAAGAGCAGTAAGGAGGTCAGATCCTGGAAAAGGCGTCATTTGAGCTGAGTTTAAAGGTCAAATGGAAGAGACTGAAAGAATGGGGGGGGGGGGAGCGCGTCAGGCAGAGGAAATCCCATGTGTAGAGGCAAAAAGCCTGAGATGACTGGACCCCTTTGGCAGCAGCAAAGAACATTTGTTGGGGTTGCAAGGCAAGGTAGGGGATGAGACTAGTTAGGAGTAACGTCCAAGGTCTCCTGTGCCTGGACACAACCAGTAACCAAGTTCAAATTGTGTCGCTTCTCCTTAGCTAGTTCTTCCTTGATTGATTCCCATCCCCCTACCTGTCTCCCAGTACATACACTCATCTGTTAGGTTTTTGAAAGAGGTTCTGATTTTTGAGAAAAAGTTTTTGTTTTGGCTTTTTTACGTAAAGATGTTTGATCTTTGGCTGGCAAGGCAAGTTCACCCCTCAAAGTTAGGTCATTCGTCAGTCCATGGGGATGGAACTCACATCTACTTGCTTCTTTTTTTCTTTTAAAGATTGGATTTATTATTGAGGGAACAGAGAGGCAGAGACACAGGCAGAGGGAGAAGCAGGCTCCATGCAGGTAGCCCGACGTGGGACGTGGGACTCGATCCCGGGACTCCAGGATCACCGGGATCACTGCCCTGGACCGAAGGTGGTGCTAAACCGCTGAGCCACCTGGGCTGCCCTACCTTGCTTCTTAGAGAAAGTTCTGTTGTTGCTTAGTAGTGATACTGTGGCTGTTCAGCAGCTTTATAAATGCACAATATTACACAGAGATGGCTGGTTGTATTTAGACAACTGATTTCATCATTTCAACTTCTTTACCTGAAAGGTAAGGCAGAGAACAGTGACCTTTGGCCCTGGGTTGCCCAAAGTAATAATGGTCAGAGTCACTGGATATTTTTGCTAGGGAAGTGGTCCAAGAGAAGTCATGGTATCAAATTGTTGAAGGCTGTTGGCTCACAACTTCAGAAGAGGCATCTGCAGGCATGTGTAAACCACTTTATGAGACTGGTTTATTTGTTGTAAACTGGGCACTAAAACAAATTGGAGACTCAGTACTCTGGCTTGCTGCTAGAGTTCATTCAATTCAGGGTGAGAACTGCCACATTTAACTGATCTGTTCCAAGTTATGCGGGGTGATGACTAACTTTAGGTGGTTCACTTAGATGCACCAAACCTGTAGGCTGACTTAATAAGAAGGAAATAATTAAAATGCCTAAAATAATACAACCTTATCCAAAGGAAAAAAGTTAATTTTCGTTTAAAGGAGAAAAAGAAGCATCTTTTAAATGCAGCCTAAGATGATAGGGGATTCTATATGTTGGATTCTTTTTCATTTTGGGCATTTTGTGTGATTATGTTGAGGTTAAGGATGTTTTTGAGGAAAAGAGAATGCAGACTTATGTGACTTTGTTCAGACTTCTTGAAAGTGCCAGGAAGCACTGTGTTAAGTATCAAAAGAAGAACTGTTGGCCTCCTGAAAGAAGCATGACACTGTGACATTTGTCCTGGTGAAATAGTACAAGCTTTTGGGGGGTGGAGGTACCTTTCTGAGTTTTTGGAAACTCTTAACAAACTCTTGTTGCTCTTTCTGTTGATCTCATGTCTTCTGAGGCCTAACTTCCTTTCCTTTGCATCTCCTGACCATGAGGGCCCTCTTGTTGCCCAGCTCAAAGACAGCTTTCTGAGGGAGTCACTTTCGGGGCATTTTGTGTCCGTTCTTTTCTTTCTCCTCTCTATCTTCTTCTGTCAGATTCCATCTTTGGTAAATAGTATGTCTTGTGTGTTTTTGATCATCGTCCAAGACTCTTATTCCTTCTTCACATCCTAGCACCCTGTCCCACCCATGACGCAGTCATGTGAGAGTGGTCTGTTAACGGCTCTCATGAGCTGATTAGTTAAGGTGTTAAGTCCACTGTGGACCTTTGCTTTACTCTGAGATGAACCCAGTGACTTTCAGGACATCTTGCTATTGGTCAGTAGGAATGGCACCAGTAGATTGGTGTGGTTGATGACCACTTTGGGGAGAAAATAGGAACCAGAGTGCTGCAGATGGAGGATAGGTTAGCAAAACTGTCTTTTGTGTTAGGAAAGCGTGCTTGGAATCATTAGTTCACCCCCTTAAGTTAATGTGTAATTTAATATTGTTTAGGAAGCTAAAAAATATAAAACCCTGTAGATACAGTCCGTTCGATGCAGCAATTATCTTTCAGATGCTAAGTACAGCATTAATTCTTTAGCTTTAGTATAGCACTGATTTCTTTAACATTTCATGATCACATAGAACAGACTGTGTTTTACAGCACAACAAAATGTCAGCAGTGTGCTTAAGATTCTCTATGGTAGTGGTTTAAATCCATCCTGAATAGATTATCTTCATTTATTTAATTATTAACCAGCTTGCTCATCAAAAGCAAGTGGCATTAAACTTAGCTTTAATCAAACTTAAATCTTAGATTGTACTATTTACTTCTGAGTTTGTGTTCTTGGGAGAAAAATGTGGATCAGAAATTAGCTTTCTTTTATTCACTTCTCTTCTTCACAGTTAATTCCTTAGGGGGTTGACATAGCCATGTGCTTATTATATCTGGAAATTGATGACAGTTCCTTGACATGTGTGGTTGTGATGTATACAGTAATTTTCTTCATGATTGGTAGCTTACATCTGTGTGTTTTTATTGAAATAATTAGTCTGAATAATGCTTATCAAAGAGATGAACTCTTAAACATTTTTAACACTGGCCTTTATGTATGAAATTTATATAATACTTTTTTTTTCCAGTTCTAAGGACAAAATATTGAGAACTTTGACCCTGCAGTATTACCACTTGGTAGTTGAAAGTTAGGGGAAGAGTCAAGGGAGTAAACTATTC